CTTCTTGAAAATCCCCATGGATAAACATTATGTAATCTTTCTCAATAAGCACGTTCAGCCTTTCATGATTCCCGCATTAAGACATCGCAAATCTATTTTTTTTTTATTCTACTTTTCCTTTATTGAGCAGCCAGTCATGAACATGAGTAACGATCACTTTTTGTCTGTAGAACTGAAGGGTAAAGTCACTCCTTAGCCTTCTTTCCTTAAAGCTTAAAATACCTAATTTACTTAATAATGTACATTTCTTTAATCATATTTGTCATTCTTGTCTGAGCTTTCTCATTTCCCCCCTATTTTGGGGCAAGTTCATGTTGTTAATTCTTTGCATGCAATTAAAATGGGACATAATTATCTTTTTTAAAAAATTCTATTTTATTTTTAATTGATAAGTAATAATTGTAAGGCAAAGTACATGAAAATAAATAAAAGGTTTACTCTCTAGCCTATACATGTCTCATACCTTTCAACACAACTGAGTACGTTTCCTTTATCACTTGAAGGCACCTTGTGATATCAGCTATCATTCCCAAGGGGCTTGTTCTAGCTAGTCATCATTCCTTACACCCTACCTAGTATTTGTTTGTGATACCACCATCATGGCATTCTAGTAACTTTAGATGAAATTAGATAAATAATCTACCCTAAGGCAACTTTTGTCCAACAAATTATATTGTTTCCGCAAACTCAACACCAAAGTGTTAACATTTTTCAAAATGCCATTTTCGAAGTGCTCATCTGTTCAGTAAATAATGACTGTGTAAGCTGTAGCTAACAGGCCTAGACATCTAGTTCTAAGATAAGGTGAATAATGTGTTTTCATAATTTTGCTTTTGGTGTAAACTTTAAGATATTGAAACTCACATTATCTAGTCATGAAATTATTTATTTGCCCTATCATAAATACTTCAATTAATGAAGATATAATACAATTTAAAAAATTGAGTTTTCCTAAGGGAAAAAAAAGGCATATTGCTGATGGCCTCCAAGATGTTTTATGTAAGCAAGTGCATATATGAAAACAGCATGCCTGTGGAAAAAACGCAATGACTTGGTTGCTCTTCTGTAGAGATAGATGGCAGCAATAGTATCAATAGGTACTAGTAGCAATAGATCAGTGGACTACAAAAAGATCACAACAGAAGGTTTTAATGAGACAGCAGTAGAACTTATAATAGATTGAACAAAATTAACTAGGTTTTAATTTATTATGTCAACAGTTATAATTAATGCATACATTTTCAAACATTTTTCATGCCGATTCTTCTGATATATAAAAAGCCATAATAGAAATCCTAAGTTTGCCAGGAAAGAGAAAAAAGACTATTTTCCTGATTAAAATAAGAATGACTACTAAAAAGAAGATGTGAATCTGCCATTATTGACTTTAAATACCAGCCTAAACGTCTAGATTCGCCTACGGTTAGATTTTGTAGTAAGTTCTCTTTCATGAAACCTCTTTTACTTTAAAGGAATTAGGTCAGATTTTTACAAAGGCAGTAAGAGTATCTGTGGCAGATTTATTCAAATTCTCTACTGCACCATTAAAACGTGCCCTTTTGCCTTCCTACAGCTAGGGCTGAATAATAAAGAATGGCTTTGGTTGCTGACTAGCACTGGCAGTAAGTCATATCTATTGAGGCTCAAACAGAGATAACGTACCTTTCACTCATTCATTCTTTCCTGGTCTAGGTACTGGGGTAAAGTTGGGGACAGAATTTATAAGTCACAAGTCCATGCTCCAGATTTTCAGACTGGTAGGGAAGATAAGACATATACTCAAGTAACTACTAAGTGGTATGAGGAATGAGGGAAAAAAATGTATCTTTCAGGGGTACCTAAGTGACATTCAAATACTGACTTGCAACTGAAAATGACAGAAGAACATATAAATTCTGTGATTGTTTAGATGGTCACATCAAACTCAACCTTTTAATTCTGGCCTTCATTTAATTTAGAATTCTGTTTTCCTTTCTGTCCAACATATTTTCAACAACAGATTGGGAAAACATGATCTTGACCAGGGTCAATCACATCAATTTTGTTTTAAAATTTAAAAAGATGTATAATTTTCAAATATACTTTCCCCCCTGATTATAAAAGTAAAACATGCTCATTATACAAACCCAGACAAAAAGAGAGGTGAAAAATTAAACTCATTCCTAATGCTTCTACCCAGAGAAAAAATGGTTAATTTTATCATGTTGAGTAGAAAATACATAAAATTTAATGAATGCAATATTTTATAATGAATATTCTACACTTAATTCAAGGGAAAGAATTATGTTCGTTATGTAGTCATGTCTATGTTCTTGTAAAATCTCACAGATGCTTACTTAACAAAGTATCACAAAAAAATTGGAGTGTAATGCCATGAATAAGAGGAGTTGTAAACTAAAACTGTATACCAGAATGTTGTGTAACTGCTAAATTATGAAATAATATCAGAATTAAAAAAAAAAATTCTGGCCCAAAATACTTGCCGGAATTGTTCCCCAATGTAGGAATACTAGTGTATAAACAGCACACAGTATTTTACTCTGTATCTAATTATCACTCTGGACAACTGGGTTTGCAGGCAAAGCAATGCATACATTGAAGAGGAGGATTGCCAGCAGGATGGTACAGAGCAGAGGTTTCCAAACCTTCCTTCTTGGCACTCTTAGTGTCTCAGTAATTTTTTCATGGTGCTCCAAGGCCAAAAGAAATAGCTAACAATTCTGTTAATTACATAGTTAGGTCCAAACAATTTAATAAATATATATGTTCTGACAATTTAGTAGCCATTTGAAAAACAACAGCCATAAACTGAAAGCAATATATTTTTATTTCGTTCTTAATCACTACTACTTACTAATGGGATGTGTGCATCTGATGGGCTGTGCAGGACTTCTCAAATCGTGGAATGAGACTGAACACTACCACCCTCCTTTACTATTCCACACTGACTTTTGTGCGTTGTTTTTTATCACGGCAACTTTGCAAAGACATGACATCGTCAAAAAATGCAGCACAATCTAATGCTGAAACTTGGAACGTCCTTGAATTGAGGTTTGAGCAGTGTCTGACAGATGTTGACACTGTGTTAGCCCTTGTAAGTTTGCTGCGGCAAGCCAAGGTGGCTGGTTTGGTGCACGGTTCGGTAATTGTGGTTATAGGACAACCTTATCCCATTGTCCTATTCTCACTGTAAAAGTGTAGGAATTCCCAACTACATGGCTGTCTTTGAAAGATTTGATACCTCTCATGTGTAAACCACTGGTTCTTTTATTACAGAGTGCAGAGATCCAAATCAGGTTATGTAGTATTCCCTAATTATATGTAGACAAAAGGAACTCTCCTCCTCAGAGACTCCCACAGCACCGGGCAATAGGTCCCTTTGGAGCTACTTTCAGACTTTTATTTACTCCTACTCATACGAATGCTTGTTATAACAATTAATCCTACAGTCTACCTTTATAGCAAGTAATACTATGATTAAACACATAATCCAAAAGGTGGCTGAATATTACTTGCAAATGGAATTAAAAATAAGCATCTTAAACAATCTTTTGTTAGAAGAAAGGAAGAAGCAATAACAGAGTCCCCTTGGTTTCTAGAATAATTTGTTGTGGTACTTTTAAAAAAATTTATTTTTTCCCCACCCCCGTCATAGTAATTTTAAAAGGATCCCACGGTAAGCAGAATAATGTCTCCACCTCCCCTAAGGTTATTCATGTCTTAATCTCCAGGATTTGTGAATATGTAACTTTACATGGCAAAGGATTAAGGCTGAGATGGAATTAAGGTTGCTAAAATCGAGAGATTATCCCAGATTATCTGGGTGGGCCCAATGTAATTACAAGGATCCTTAAAAGTGGAAGAGGGAGGTGGAAGACGAAAGCAGAAGAGGGGAGTTCAGAGGGACATGTAGCTGTGGAAGAAAGGCACAGATGATGCAATGTGAAAAGGACTTGACCCACTGTTGCTGGCTTTGAAGATGGAGAGCAGGGTGATAAGCCAAGGAGTGTGGGCGGCCTCCAGAAGTTGGAAAAGGCAAAGAAACGGACTCTTTCCTAGAGACTGCTCACACTTTGATTTTGGCCCAGTGAGACCCGTGTTGGACTTCTAACCCTATTATAGAAATGTAAGATAATAAATTTGTGTTGTTTCAAGCCACTAAATTTGTGGAATTTATCACAGCAGTAATAGAAAACTAATACAGACCCTGAATTGACATTAATAAAACGATTAAAACAACAGCAACTATAAATGTTTCAATTCAATTAGATGAGCTAAGTAAGCTGGCTAACATATACTTTCAATAAGTATTCCCAGTAAATTTTGTTTTGTACTGATGATGCAATAAAACTAAATATAAAATGGGCCGGCCCGGTGGCGCACTGGATAAGTGCGCCGCTTGGGAAGCGCGGCGGCGCTCCTGTCCGAGGGTTCGGATCCCACATACAGACCGGTTCCCGCTCACTGGCTGAGCGAGGCGTGGGAGCGGCACTGGGGGTTGAGATCCCGTTGCCGGTCCCCAGTCCGGTACGGGGGCAACACTGAGGGTTGCGATCCGTTGCCGGACATGGAAAAAGACAAAAGACAAAAAAAAAAAACTAAATATAAAATAAAGCCATAGGTGCTGGCTCAAAGAATCTACTCAGGTGTTCCTCAAACATCATGGCTTTTTGCCTTTGTTAATTTTCCTTACTCTTTAATAATGATGCAATGACTATAAACAAGATAAAAATCTTTGTATTATGCTGTCATATGAATTTTAAACAAATATAAGCTTCTCCATGTTGTATGAGTTTAAGCTAAAGATTATATTTCTTTCCCATGTGCGAAGTACCAATTAAGATATTTTTAGTAATTTCTTGGGCTCTTTAAATGGGATGATGGTTTGATGACTGGACAAAGGAAACCTTCCGACAATTACTTATGGAAGCCCTACTGTAAGAGTATGTTTACTTCTGTGAACTGAAAATATTCAAAGTTGAAAAATAGTCTGTTTTCACCTGTGGTTAAAGGCAGGTGTGTGATGCTGTTCAGACAGGTCAGGGTGAACCACGTGGATGATAGTGTAGCCCCAGAAAACAGGAGGAGAAGAATTAGCTTCAGCATACCCCGGATAAAATCTGCAAACCTGAAAAGAAACAATGTCACATTAATTCTAGCTGGAATTTTAAATACTATTTAAATCAATGACATGCTTTCATTAAACAAAAATTACTTGAAGAATTTGCCATGCATTTTTTTAAAAGCTAGTTTTGTTGTTTTTTAATTTACAAATGTTCTTGTGTGTGTGATGTTACTTTGTGATAAAATGTTTTCTCTTACAAAACACACAATGGGCCGGCCCCGTGGCTCACTCGGGAGAGTGCGGTGCTGACAACACCAAGGCCACGGATTCGGATCCTATATAGGGATGGCCGGTTTGCTCACTGGGTGAGCGTGGTGCTGACAACACCAAGTCAAGGGTTAAGATCCCCTTACCGGTCATCTTTAAAAAAAAAAAAAAACACACACACACAAAATGTCATCTCTGTTCAAGATCTATGACTTATAGGATAGATCTGAGTTTTTAAATATCAACTTTTATTTATATTTTTCTATACTTTGTAAACATTCTGTAATGAATATATATTATCCCAGTTTTAGATAATAGGCTAATTTGTTGACGTAAACTTGCAAAGATGGCTCTCCCAAAATTCAAACTCAGAAAACAAATACAAATGCCTAGAGCAGAGCCTCTGAGGTCCTATATGATCTGGTCCTTGCCTCTGCTCTCCCTTTTCCTTACTATTCTCCAGTTTCTGTTTCTCATAGGTGCAAAGATTGCTTCCCACAGCAGCATGTAGCTTTTGTACTTGTCCCATCTGCCTGGAATGCAGATCTTCACATGACTTGCTCCTGGCTCATCCTGCAGGTCATGCAGGTCTCAGTTCAATGCAGCCTCCAGGCTTACTGAAGAAGCCCTCCCCATCCTGTCTCTCCACTGTTTTGCTTTAAACCATTTTTTTCCTACTGGAAATTGTCTTGTTTTTGCATTTGTTTATTTTTTGCCTTCCCTACCAGACTGTATGCTTCTTGAGGGCAAGAATATAGCATATGGAATAGTGAGTACTATTCTACAAAGGTTGGGGCATTTTAAGTTCTCAAAATTCCTGCTTTTTCTTGAATCAACATAAAACTAAAAGACTGGGAGAGATGCTTATTTATTTGGTTATGCCAAAAAATTTTTCCCTTTGCCAACTGCTTTTCCTTATCAGCAGATTAACTGTTGATTTTATAGGTACAATCCTCTGGCTGTACATACAATTGGCCTTAACAGTTTACTCTGTCCTTCAGGATTATCCCTCAAATACAACATTTACCACATTCTCTCTACTCTGAATTTTTAAAAGTTGATTTTAATTTCTATTGTAATTATGTGACTGTCCTTAACACTTTCAGTACTTTTGTTTTATACTTATTTGACATGATATGACATGTTAATCATGTTTGTTAGGATTTTCTAGACTAAAATGACTTCCTATGAGAGCTGATGCCATCTTTTGGTGGGAAAAACAGATGCACTTTTGCCCAGTGACAGGTTTGTTGCCATCTATGAAAGTTCAAAAGCAGAAAATGCTATGTATTCTGAAAAAGGCTCCACAGCTTGATAGAAATGTCTCCTAACAAAATCGAAATAATTTTGTTTTAATTCCAAGCTTACCAAACACTTTTCTGATTTACATTTTGGTATGCTGCATAAACTTATTCATCAGATAGGCAGATGTCAACGTAAGAGAGACTAAAACAGCTCTCTGGTACAAATCAGAGTTGAACTGCAAGGTTTCATAGACACTGGTCATACAAGAATAAACTGACCACTGTGGTCTGCTGTTTTTAGAGACCCAGTCCTTTCAAATGGGCTGATGCCATCAAACAATATTGTTAGGACTGAAGTAGTATCTTTTTTTTATTTTTTGGACTGGTAAAGGGATCGCAACCCTCAGCTTGGTGTCGTCTGCACCACGCTCAGCCAGTAAGCGCACCGGCCACCCCTATATAGGATCCAAACCCGCGGCCTCAGTGCTACCAGCATCATACCCTCCCGAGTGAGCCACGGGACTGGCCCAGTAGTACCTTTAATAGTGTCCTTTAGCAATGTAATTACCAACAAAATTACCCAAAACACTCAATGTCTATAAGGAGATTCTGTTTAGGGAATCCCAAAAATGGCATTATAAAACTAATTTTAAAATTGATTTTAGGCCTAGTAGATACCTGAAACTGATTTCAGATCCCAGAGTAAGGGCAGTATTTTTCAGAACTTCCATTTCAACAAATTAAAAGCAGAAATATCCTTATTCTAATTTTTCCCTCTAGTTTTATCTATATATAGTTAAAAATTAAGAGGTTGTAAAAAGAAAATAAAGAGAAAGGAGGATGTGAGATGTCAATTCTGATATATAATGGTTCCCTCTTTGACCTATTTGGTGCTTAGAATAGGATTTGATCAATGATGACTCACTATAATTGGCCTGGAGATTTAATTAGAAAAATTAGGTATGATTCTTGTCAAAATGTGACAGGTCAATGTATTTCAGTATCAGTGAAGTGATTTCCTACAAATAGTATTTTCCTATCTTGTTTTGGCTTTTAGATTTTATTCTTATATTTTCCTAACTTACAAAAACATCAAATAAAGTAATTTACAAATTATAGTCTTAATTTATTCTTGCATTATCTCAGAAACACTACACAAAAAATTTGGATATAATATTATCCTGTGTCAATTATGTTTAAGTATTTAGATATTGAGGTGATTTACATATCTTATTTGATCTCCCCAAATACGTAATTAGATTCTCCTCTTCCTGGTAAAGTTGATTGCCTAATTTTGTTTTTGATTAAACAGGCTAAAATGATACGGAAAGTAAATGAATATTATCTTTTTGGAAACACCAAGAACAGTTTCACAGGCAGTCACCTAAAAGAGTGACATTTTCATTCTTTTTTTAGAATCAATGAAACCTTTAATCCTTCTTCTGATTCATTCTAAAAATGTGTTGTCATAATGGGTTAAGATCAAAGGGAGTTTGATGAAACTGGAAGTCTTTATTGACGTTTTTCATCAAAATGGGATAAACATAGGAACATACTTACCAAAAACACCAGAAATAAATATCTGCTAATCAGGACACTGCCTTTTCATGGACAGTTCTAGAGATGCTCTTATAAATGATTCTTTTCAATTCTTTTCTATGGCTGATAACTATCAATTTGCCTTTATTATCATATCACTTTTCTTTGGGTTCCATTTGTACATGTTCTCTAATAATATGGAGAGAGGTGGTTTAATTACACTGGAAATAAATTTCTAGTCTCCAAAAAACATTTTAGGAAGGACTACTCCTGAGAAGGTTTCCTATAGCAGCCAATTCTATCAACTGCATGTGAGTTTTCTTGTAGCCTGAACAAGTGCCCTTTTCTGACCTTTGCCTGTTTTACTTTTCCCTGAATTTCAATGTTCATTTTGGGAGGCTATTTCTCTTTGTGCTTTCCCTTCCCCTGTCTTCTGTCCACTCACATGTTTAACAGAATTTTCTCACCTTGCCATAGCTATTCCAACAACACAGCCTCCAACTATAGACCAAAATCCAATCCAGCCAGCATCGACCTGTTAACAAAATAGCAGACATGTTTAATACAAGACTATTATGTTGCAATTTAGAAGGAATGAGGAAAAAAAATCCTCTATAATCAATATTTTAATAGCTAAATGGCAAGAAATCTAGGAAACACTATTTAAGAAAACGTATAAAATGAAAGAATTCATGTATAACTAATATAAACTTATCTCAGTGAATATGTCTTTGACTGACATTTCACTGGAATAATTAAATCAACAGAGTGATCAATGTCATCGAATTATTTCTCAAGCACGTACTACACACAAGCATCGCATTAGAAACTCTTAAGAAAATGGGAAAAGAATGGTCAATGACGTCAAAAAGTAAGTTTAACTAACAAAATGAAACTACTGGAAATGTACTGAGAAACGAGAGAGAGAGAGAGAGAGACACAGTGTGTGTGTGTGTGTGTGTGTGTGTGTGTGTGTGTGTGTGTGTGTGTATAGAGAAACAGAAGCTGGGCTGGTTTCAAATGTACAACTTTTCAAATGAGAAATGTTTCCGGACCTGCCATTTACCAGCTTTGGGACCCTAGGCAAATTATGCCTTCTTACCTATAAAATGGATTAAGTGAGAATTTGTGTATAAGACTTAGATCAGCAGCAGCACACAGGGTGTGCTCAATAAACGTCAGCTGTTGTTACTACCCGAGTATGCTTCTCCATCTATCTCATCTCTCTCCTACCTTCATGGCCACTCTTTTTCAGAGCAATCTACAAATGCTGCCAACGCATTCTCATCACTCACAGATCTTTAATTCTTAGTACGACTTGGCTTCTGTCCCAGTTCACACTCTAAGTCTCAGTTCCTGCATTAGTAGGTCCGGGATAACAAAGGTTTTTGAGGGATAAATAAGGTAATAAAGTGCTCAATGCATGTTAATTGCTGTTACTGAAATCCCATGTGTCCCTAACAATACTGGTGCATTTTATCTTCTCTTTCCCCTTCTCATGACTTCCATGCTTGCTTCTCACCTTATTTCTTACTCCCGGATGCCTGTAATAGCTTCTCAAATGGCTTCCACAATCTATTTTGCCCACCAGTGCCAGAATAGTTATCCCAATCACTCCACTTCCCTGCTCAGAAATAGTTACTGGCTTTGCTTGTGACTAAAGAGCAAAGTCTAAACTTGATCTGGCACTTGAGATTTGCCCAAACTAACTTCTACCTTTTAATATTTTACTAGTCATGTTTTTCATTACACCTGTGACAGCAATTGCCAGCTGTCCACCAAATATGTTATCTTGGTCTACTTGGGTACTTAGCTAGATTACATGCCCCAGTCCTATACAGTTACATGTAACCATGTTACTAAGTTCCCATTAATAGAAGTGAGCAGAAGTGAGGTGTGCCACCTCAAGGTTAGAACCTGGAAGACAGCTAGAGGCCTCCTCCATGCTTTCTTTTCCTTTCTGACAGCTGTAATCTGTATGTGGTCACCCAGCTGCACCCATGCTTATAATGATAAGGTCCTAGAGGACAGAAGAGCTATGAAGTAGAAGCAGCCTAGGTCTATGCTATGAGTCCCATGTGTTCCCCAAAAGTTCATGTGCTGGAAACTTGATCCACACTTAACAACGTTAAGAGGGTGGGAAATCCAATTATGGTATTTGAAAGATGAGGCCTTTGAGAGGTGATTGGATCATGAGGGCTGTGCCCTTGTGAATGAATTAATCCATGGAATAATAATGGGTTGTCATAGGCGCGGACTGGTGGATTTATAAAGAGAGCACATGAAAGAGCTCTTGGCTATTTGCATTATGTGATACCCTGGTTGCCAGGGGACCCTATAGAGAGTTCCCACCAAGAAGAAGGCCCTCACCAGATGTGTTCCTTGGAACTTGGACTTCCCAGACTCCAAAACTAAGAAATAAATTTCATTTTCTTATAAACTACCCAGTTTCAGGTATTCATTCTGTTATAAGCAACAGAAAATGGACTAATATGGTCTGTAAATCAGCATGAGGAAAAGAGCATGTCCAAACTGTGGACAAGTGTCCTAGATTGTCATGTACACTGTCCTAGATTGCTACATGAATTAGAAATAAATTTCTTCTTAAGTCTTGGAATTTTGGCGGTCTACTTGTCACAGCAGCTTGGCCTCCTCTAAGTAATACAATAACTTCATACAACTCTTTTGCTCTATCAGTGTATGCTGCCAGTGGCAAACATAAATGCTCTCTGGAGAAAGATAACATCCTGAAGATTAAATTATCTCTACAGTTTACCATACCATTGGCATTTGGGGCAAGAGAATCCTGTTCTGTAAAACTACCCCTTTCATTGCAGAGCATTTAGCATATACTATCCAAGGCCCACTTAATGATATCAGGCCCTGACAAATATTTCCATCTATCCCCTACGTGAGTGGGGTCCTGTGCCAGGCTAAAGACCACTGTACATCTGGCTGTACTGATGCTGGTCCTTTCAACTGTTTTGTGCTTTTCTGTTTCCTTTGTTCATGACATTCATTTTAGTTGATAAAATTCTACCCAATAATTAATTAAAAATTCTTTTGCTTTCATTTAATTTCATATTTCACTTTATTTAATACCTGGTGTGATTCATAGTCTCTTTTCTCTCTCAGAGTTTATACAGACAAAGATACTTGGAAGGACTCCTTAGAGTTTACAACATGAAACATAGGTCTGCAAAATCAGCATCAGTTAAATGGGTGCCATACTGTTCCTTATCAAAACTGACCACACTTAGAATAATTGCCATCCATAAAAATAGGTCAGAAACTTAAAGGAAGGCTTTTTTCGTATGGTAAAAGTACTGCTTTGGTCTTATGGTCTGAATGTTGGTGTTTACCCAAAATCACGTGTTGAAACATAAGCCCCGTGTGATAATATTAAGAGGTGGGGTCTTTAAGAGGCGGTTAATTCATGAGGGCTCAGCCCTCAAGAATGGGATTAGTGTCCTTATAAAGAGGCTGAAGGGAGCTGCCTTGCCCCTTCTACCATGTGAGGAAACAGCAAGAAGGCACCATCTTGGCAGCACAGAGCAAGCCCTACCCAACACCGAATCTGCTGGCACCCAGCCTCCAGAACTGTTAGCAATAAATTTCTATCATTTATAAATTACGCAGTCTAAGATATTTTGTTATAGCAGCCCAAATAGACTAAGACAGATACACTAGGCAATTTGGATTAATATTCTGGTTGAGAACTAAAAAATCTGGGGGAAAGGCATCAGAGAGCCAACAAGGTAATCCAGAATTATGAAATCATGATGTACGATGGGAAAAATATCCAGAGATAAGCCTGGTATTTAGAGATAATTTTTCTTTAGGGGTGTCTGCTGATTTCAGAAAAGGTGGCTGAGGGGCTGAGAAATTACTGATAGCCTCAATGACCTAGGAAAGAAAAAATATGAGCTTGAGGCCTGTTGTGGGTTGGGGTGGCCTTGTAAAAACCCCAGACTTTAGCTGGAGACTCTGAAGGGCTATACTCTACAAGTAGGAGAAACTAGAAATAGGAGAGCATTCTGAAGGTTTAAAGCCCAGCTTTAAATGATCTCAATCTCTGAAACTAGATTAAAGTGATCCCTAGACGCCTGCCAGAAAAACAAACAAACAAACAAACAAACAAAAAAACATAAATTATCTCTGGAGGAAAATAACACCATCTTGAAGCTTAACTTTTAACTTTTTAACTTTTTAACTTTTCATATACTGTGTCTAGTGCTCAGCCCAAAATAGGCAAACACATAAAGAGATTAGAAAACAGGACTGAATACTGAAAATATAAGTAGACTCCCAGGGGATCCAGATAATGGAATTATGAGATACAGACTTTAAATAACTATTTTTAAATTTTTAATAGACAAAAAAAGACAAGATCAAGCATTTCTACAGAAATGTGTAAAGTATAAAAAAAAAACAACTAGAAATTTTATAACTTAAAAATACAATAATTGAAATTAACTCATAGACAAATTTCATAGCATATTACACAGAGCTGAAAACTGAAATAGTGAGTTGGAAGAAAGGCTAGATAAAATATGCAGTCTGAAGCACAGAATGGCTAAAGAAGGGAAAATTCAGAAAAGAGAAGAAGAGACATAGGGAATACAGTGAAAAGGTATACCATAAATAGTTAGAGTCTCCAAAAGAGAAATTAGAGAAAACGTAGCATAAGCATTGAAGAGATACTAGCTAAGAATTTTCAGAAACTTAAGAGAGACATCAAGCCCTAAATTCAAGAAGTCCTATAAAGCTCAAGCAAAATAAATTTTTAAAAGATTACCACCTAGGTATGTCATAGTAAAACCACTGAAACCAATGATAAATAGGAAATGCTAAAAGCAGCCAGCTTTTAAATTTCAAAGCTGACTTCTCAACTGAAACAATGAAAGCCATAAGAAAATGGAATGATATTTTCAAAGAACCAAAAGAAAATAACTGCTAACCAAGAATTGTATGCCCAACAGAAAAAATCTTCAAAGCTGAAGGGAAATAAAGACATTTTCAGAACAAAACAAATGATAAAATTAAAAAAACCCCAAAACAAGAGAATTTGTCACTAGCAACCTGCACAATAAACAAACAAAAACCACTAATGGGTGTTCTTTAGACGGCAAGAAAAATGATCACATGAAGTGAAGTAATGAAAAGCAACAAAATGAATAAATATAAGGGTGAATCTAAATGAGTATTGACTGTTTAAACAATAACAATAATGTCTTCAACAGTTAAAATCTATGGCAATAATAGCACGAAAGGTGGGAGAGGGTTAAATGACATTAGAGGGTTCTAAGGAAGAATGTCTTACCCAGTCCTTAACACGGAAACCAAGAATATGTAACCAGTATTATAAGTTAAATGAAGTAAAATACCTACAACATATGCAGAAATAAAATACTTACTTGGCTGACATGCACTGGTGTTAAAACTAAGTCCAGAACTCCAGACCAGCCAGCAAATACACCAAGCGGTATGGCATATGCTAAAGCAATCATCAAAAATCTCAAATTGCTGTAAAGAGAAGTAAAAAAACCCATTATTACAAATTAAAATCTAGAATTTAAACTCTTACTCATGAAAAATGTAAGCCATTGGAAACTGGAACACCAGAATCATAAACAGAAAATATTTGTCAGTTTGTTAATAAATTCAAGCTTCTTTAAATTCTTTATTTTTATAAGAGTAACCTTTTTTGTACCTATTGCCTAAAATTGTCAATGTTTACTTTATTTTTTTAAATTTTTTAATTTTTTCCTTTTTGTCTTTTTTCGTGTCCGGCAACGGATCGCAACCCTCAGT